TTAGTAAGCCAATAGTTGTTGTCTTGTATGACAATTCTAGCTGAATAAGACCTCTTCCACCTTCTTTACGGGGTATGTATAGACGGTCTACATCAGCCTTTGGATGATGCATCTTATACTTAGAAAGAAGCTTTCTTGTTTTAGAATCCATTTGTCTGATGTCATTTAGAGTCCAGTTCAAGATGTTGAAACTATATTGGACCACTGGGATGGCAAGGTTATTAATGGCCATAATTCTGTTCTGAGAATTCAATTCAGTTTTTAATACCAGTCGTACCCTTCTATAGTACTCTTTACGCACTATTTCTTTCATTTTCTTATGGTGAATTCCTTCACTCTCATTTACACCTAGGTACTTATAAGCTTCTCCTTGTTCTAAATCTTTTATTGTTACAGCAGGGTCTAAACTAATAGAGGAAGTTTGTTGTAGCGATCCTCGTAAAACTGTAGCTTTAGCACATTTATCCAAATTGAATTTATCATTGAATTTATTATTATTATTATTATTATTATTATTATTATTATTATTATTATTATTCTGTTCCACCTCAGTCAAGATCACAGAATTCACAATCTCGCACGACAGTTAAATTTGAACTCCATAATCCTTTCCATGGCTGCATAGTATATTCGTTTATGGAAAAAAAAACATTCGCGGCTGATGAATAACTTTTACTTGTGCCTATTGCCAAAAGAACAGGCATTAGAGTTTTATCGACTGATGTAATCGATGGAATGAATGTCTGTTAAAAGCGAGAAAAGATTCGAATGTTCCATATTCGAATTTCTTCTGGTCACAGAAAAATCTAATGTTTCTGATTGGAAAGGAATCGCCGAACAGGCAATGATAATTCTAAATACGCTATTAAAATGAAATTGAAATTTGCTTTTGATGAAAATATAAAAAACAGCCAAGAAATATGAAAAAGAAAATAATTTAGTGGAAGCTTTTTTCATGAAAATTTCTGTTAAATTATCTGTACTTTGTCAGATCTCATAGACTAGCACTACAGAATCACAATGAACTTTAGCAAACATTAGGAAACACATCGCTTGAAGGCTTTCAAAGTAAAGCAAATTTAAATCCGACAGAAAATAATGATATCATCAAGATATTGACTTGTCATACTATATTAGAAAAAGTTAGGAATTAAACCCCCAACAGAAAAGAGTAATAACACTTAGGGAACTTAAAAAAAAAAAACTGTTTCCCTGAAAAATTGTTTTAAGGGAAAGATTTTATAAATTTCGTCAGGCATTTACGTTAACTGTTCGGTAAGGAAACATCTAATCTAACTACTACCATTACTGTTTTAAAATTTTGAGAAGTTCAACGTAATGCCTTCCTGGGCATGACGATAAACTACATCTGACACCAAGGCCTCTGATCAGGAGGTTTTGAGGAGCGTGAAACCACCTCTTAATTGTTCCCAGGTCCACCCTGACCCGGGGTGGTATCACCTGTTGGGCGGGGAGCTCTGGGCAAATAGTTGACCCCCCCAAACTGAGGTCAAAACACTATGAAAGTGTAAAAATAGGTTTTTATAGTAAAAATACCAGCAATACATTTTTTGAAAATAAGTATTGCCAGCAATTGAAGGGCGCAAAGGAAAATACCCTGTGCACATCTCCACACATAAAGCCCATTGAAGCGATGCCTAATAACATCCAGTTCTCTCCGACGGAAACCAATAGGAACCTACTGGAACCATGGATACGTGACCATTTCAAATCCAGGGCATTTAATATATGCCCACACCAATCCTTACAGATTATGACAGGAAAGCTATTACGTTAATGGTGCTGATGGCGGTCTACACACCGATCCTGATTTCATTGGAAGAAGAAAATGAAATACGACCTCGATCGAGACTTCGCATTGAGTAGAACTGAACCGGTGCTAGTGGGCGTTCCTACAACCTGGTGCTTAAGGATAGTAGTCTCACCCATAAAAGATGTCTCCCTCCAGACGCACGGTTGACTTAGAAGAACTGAACGTTGCCTCCATAATGGAAACCTATCACACCCCGTCCCTAGTTAATCAGGTCTCTATCGTTCCGGCTCAAACAAGGAAAACAGTTCTGGATGCTTGGGACGGGTACCACAGCTTACCGCGTTTCTCAGCCACACAAGATTCCACTACATTTATCACTGAACGGGGCCGGTACAGATATCTTCACGCCTGGAGACGGATATACCCATCGGTTCGACGATATTTCAGTGGACATGTTTCGAAACACCCGTAGCATAGATGACGGCCTCATTTGGGAAAATTCTATGGAGTACTTGTTCTGGCGCATAATGGAATATATAACCCACTGTGGGAATAATGGGATTGTGTTTAACCCTGACGTATTCCATTTTGCTGAGAATGAGGTGGAGTTTGCCCGATTCTTAATAACGGCCGATGGAAAAACCATCGACGAAAATGACTGAGGCCATTCTTCACTTTCTACAAATATCACGGGCGTCAGGTACTGATCTGGAATGGTATCTTATGCATTCTCGCATCTTCCGGGAATTACTGCGCTCGGAGAAGCGAAAATTTTATTGGGGCGAAACACTTAACCAACTTTTTGAGGAGTTGAAACGCGGGATCATGCGGAAACTTGAGAACGGATTCAAGACGTTCGAGATCAATGAATCAACATGCCTTTCAACAGAATACAGTAAAAACAGAAACCGGTTACTTTATTTTTCAAAAACACTTTAATTGTCCTGGCAAAGCGAAACCAAACTGTGGTGATAGTCACTGGAAAATTATTTTGCCCGTTATTGCTTTACCAATGATGCATAATCCAACTATGCATCAGTTAAAAGTGAAGCTCTGGCTCTTGTCTATGAACTAGAATCATGTCGGATGTTCATATTGGGATGCCCAGATTTGCCCAGTGATATTGAGCATCAACCAATCATAAATATTTTCTCAGATCAGGCCCTCGAGATCATGAAGAACCTACCTCTTTATTTTCAAAGAACGCACACTAATGTACAAATTCAGCATTAAACATCTCCCTGGAAAACTTAATGCTGCACTGGACCCCGCCTGCTGATAACCAGTATGGATCCTATCAGAGGACTCATCTGCAGAAACAGACTATATACAACAGAAGCCTAGACGGTCATTCTACGAGACGAGTACAGCTGATGCAATCGAACCAGTCTCGACAGTGCAAATCAAGTCTGCATTTATATTCGCGTACGATCATGACACCATAGACTGAGAGGTGGGTTCTATATCACATGGGATAGGAGCGTGTTACCGAAGAAGATTGTCGGACTCTGACGGAATATATACGGACTGGTTTCCTCAAATCACGCCATGACCTTCCGTCGGTGATCTCTCGGTTTTGACCCATGCGCGAGGAATTGTACTGCGTTGAAGGAGGTATCAAAGAGAATAAAATTCTTATACCTCGACAACTTTGTGTGGAAGTACTACATTCTCCACATCAGGGTGGAAATGGAATGCCTATTTTGGTCTGGTTTCGATGCGTCCAACAGAACACTACATTATTTACATTATTCGGACTATTGTCCTCATCTTTGTCACCATATTTATCACAACGTTTCGGCCGTTGTACGCTCCGGCCTTCTTCAGGTGGAATGTCGAACTGAACCCTTTAGTTCTAGTTCCACGTGCCATGTTTGATGGATGTCAGTTATCAGTTATCTCCTGTTTATCTCCCTCTGAAAGTTCTCTACTGCCTTAACCGGGTATTGAACTCACACTCTTTGGGTTCTGTCACTGGATCTAACCAACGCCTTTATCAACTGTGCCATGTGTCCTTGAGGACATCTGGGTATTATAAACCTAATGTCTTCAGCAACGATTTTTACTAGTGTTCATATTGCAATTTTGCTGTTATCATTGCATTGAGCCGACCACGCGTAGAAATAAATACAATATGAAAACCAGTAATAAGGAGTGCCAGAGAAAAGCAATGATAACAACAAAGTTGCAATATGAGGTCTGGTAAAAACATGAAATGATAACGAAGGCCGGAGTATACAACGGCCGAAACGTTGTGACAAATATGGCGACAAAGATGAGGACAATAGTCTGAATAATGTAAATAATGTACATAATACCTCATCTCAGAAATATAGACAGACTATTTAATACTATTGCCCCGTCACAGCCTAAGCAACCTTTGATTCCACCGTCTAACCCTGAATTACAATTCCAACAAACCGTGATTGACTTTTTCGACTTACACGGTCGAAATTATGTTAAATACGTAAATCTGTATAGTGGTTGGGTTGAAGTGACCCTAATGTTTTCTGAGAAGGCCAGAGCAATATGCGACACCCCCAGAATTTGCTTGTGATACGACTTGTTCCTAAGAATTAAGGAATACGGAAACGTACTTCTTCGGTTTACTACTCCAAAAAAACAATGGCCGGGCAGAAGTGGCCGTCACAACGGCTAAGAGTGTACCCGTAGACAACACAGTCAGCTGTGATAGGCTGTGCCCTGATCGTGCAGCCCATGCTTTTCTGACCCAACGCAACACTCTCGTCCATGCATCTTTGCATGTCTCCTGCTATGATGTTATACGGTCGTGTTATCAAAAACCACATCCCTATCCTACGGGACAAATACCAAATACGCAAACAGTGGAGACAAATTGGTGAAGTGAGAGAGGAAGCAATGGCTAAAAAGCACATACGTAACGAACACTTTTACAATGAACATTGTCGCCCACTTCGGAGATTACAAAATGGCGATTCTGTTCATATCCAGAATCAAGATGGCCCTTTTCCCGCCGGTGGTCGAAAACAGTGAGAATCGCAGAGATACTCGATAACCGAGAGTATTGTGTGCGGGTGGATAGAAACAATCGGGTAAATCTACGCAACCGTCTTTTTTCTCCGCAAGGTCCACCTAGTTATTGACGTCCCACATTATTCTACCCAGGGAGTGGGTTCCTTGACCTCATGGCACACCGATTTACAGCCGGTTCAAGATAGCATCACGAAAAATAGATTAACCGCACCTAGGCCAGAACCGTATAATACCTCTGCAGGTCCTGGGGTCTGGCCGCAGCGACCCGGTGAATCCCATATTGTGATCCAAAATATATTACAACATAAACCAAATATCGTGAGTAATGAACCAAAAGAAATTGAAATTGACTACATTGGGAATTCTGAAGGCACAATTCAAAATAATACTGGGGAACACCAATATCAGGCGATACCAAACTCGAGTTAGAGGTGCCCACGTCGAAACGAGCGAGCACAAATACGAGCATAATCACACGCATATTCTGGGGCAAACCTTCAAGTGACCATATCAACCCGTCCTGTGGTCAGAGGAGTGATGGGGTATGTAGAGTAGAAATGGAAGGTCTCATTAGATAATGAGGGACATACGTTGACTCGTCCAATGTTATATAAACTTCTGAGTGGCCAGGGGCATTTTTGCATTTGTATCTCTTTGGTACGAGAATAATATATTTGAGCATTGCTACTACCATAGATATTGTGGTTATTTTACAATGATGGCAGAATAAAGTAGTGATTTCTCCTTCTTTCCATTAAATTCTTTAATTTTAATTTCTTTTCTCGAAGGAAATTGCTTCGTTGAACCTAAGAGAATCCTTTGCCACAATCGACAATACTACTACTGCTACTGAATGCGTCAGTCGAATGACAGGTTATTAGTTCCAGAAGGAATCCATAACAATTTCTATTCTCAAGAACAGAGAAACGAAAGGAGAAGAAATGACAAACTCAAAGTTCAAACTCAATAAACGTTTCCGACTGTCATCTCAAGTAACATCGTCTCTATTGCCCAAATCCTGTCATTACTTGACGTGTACGTGTAGGATTAACCTTTTCTATTTACATGTGAATCACAGGGCCATTTGGTTGTCATCATCTGAAAGGATTTAGTAATTTTAAAATGTGAGATTCTTAAATAAAGACCCCAGAGTAAAGAGTATGCTAACTTCTACAGAAAGAAATAATTTTAAAACCGTACCAGGATTTAGCAAAAACAGCCAAACGTTCAAATTTTTTTTAACAGTGAGGTTCAAACTGTAAAAGGCCCGGGGACTACTCGAGATAGAGGGTTACGTTAAGGGGATAGTTTATATCGATAGGAGGGGAACATAACGGTTAACTCTAGATTCAAAAAGGTTTTGTAATGATCCGTAAATAACTTGGGAGTCTGTTCCACAAAGCAGTGGTTCGCGGGTTAGAAGCTGTTTGAGTGGGACCTACTTTTTGCCAATGGAATACATATGGAACGTGGGTGGTCTTCTACGATATAAGTGACATGGTGTGACCTAGCCATGAAGGTTAGACCTGACGAAAGCAAGGAATCTAGTTCGTCCGAGCACTTTCTATGGAAGTTACGATATAGCAGTGAGAGACTTGCCACATCCCGCCTGTGACAGATTTTGAAGGATGGAAAATAATTCTTCAACAAGGACTCTGAGACGCTTTTATGCTCTGTCAAAACTGTCCAAATATAGCAATAGTACTCTATTTCCGGCCTGAACTGGCTCTTATAAAGGTAGAGGATAGATTGAGGAGTCAGGTACTTACTCTAACGGTACAAAGAGCCGATCATTTTACCTGCATCTTAAACAATGGATCGTATATAAAGAATTCCACTTGAGGTCGGGTGTGAGTTTGAGGCACAATACTGCATAACATTAAGTCTTTGACATACCTTTATTTACATGCAAAACATTTAACTCAGATAATATCCTGTGTAAAAGTCTGTGTAAAATAGTTAAGATTCTATAATACTATACCGAAAGCACATTAAAATATATATTCTGTTGATTTTTGTTTTATACATTCTCCATAAAAAATGGTGTACTTATTATTTGGTTGTAATAAGATAGCATCATAAATTTCGATGAAAAATTACAATTTTAAAACCATTATAATAATTATGCAATCAAAATTAAAAAGAATTCGTAGAAAGTGTTGAATCAAAACGTCAAGAAAATACTTTTTCGAAATATAACCTTAAAAACTTTTTTTTAATAAAAAATAGTCGACAATTTGCAAAAGTGCGCAATTTTAATATAATGATTTTCCAAGCGTAGCTTAGATGCGGCACAAGGCTGAAAGTAGGGGGCACCCAGTGAGAATCGAACTCACTACTCAGTGGTAATAGTTCGTCCGCTATTTAAAGACTTGGTTTTCATTGTAAAATATTGTGCCTCATTTTACGTAATTTTAAAAATATTATTTTTATTTACGCAACAAAAGTTAATCACAGAATTTATTTAATTTACATTATTTAAATTTATTGAAGTTAGCATATTTCAATTTAGTTAATTTGTTTACGTAAAAATAATTATTGACTGAATTTTTACTTGAGGCTCAATGAAGTGAACGCGGATGCATATATCTTGCTTACCTTGTTCGCCTTTCGCTTTCTGAGCAACCAGGCCTAAATCTTGACACAAAGGCAGTGTTATACGACGACATTTATTGGGACTTGTGTCCGGCGCCAGTAATCCATCACCTCGTATCATTGGAACATCGTATGTACTTGAACGAAATACGGGTGTTATATCAAGCGTCCGGACACGAGTTTGGGTCAAACTGATAGAACGATATTTATTCTTGGCATCTTGGTTTTTACAGGAAGAAAGGGGGTCGGGTTCAAGAACATTTCCTTTGTCGACCGGAGGTGGTTCCACCTTGCTTTCCGATGTCAGGCTGTTTGAAGAGCTACTGTAGCAGATGGCATTCTGGCGTTGAATTTTACTTTGGTTGTCAGTTTCTTGTTCCCCAGACGATCGTTTCTCAACCTCTAAGCCGGCAACGGCGTCTTTACGTCTTCTTTCGACATTTTCTTTCCTTCTGGTTTCATGCGGGAGTGAACTGCCTGACAGGGTACGGCTTTTTGACGACCTGTGACTCGTTATTTCGTCAGGGGGATTGACCACAATCTCAGGCATATCTGTAGATATACGATTTCGCAATATGGAGCGTCGACGAAGCTTCCGATCAAGCCGCTTCTTTCGGAGTAATTTCCTTTCCGTCTCAAACTGCTCGGTATCCGCAGAGACTTCCTCTTCGTCCCTACATCCCTCAGCATAACCCGCTGGAAGACTCCGCGTCCGATAGGATCTTCGATTGACGGAATTCGGCGGAGGCGGTGGAGCTGGAGAGCATTCGACGTCCGCTCCAGATCGGAAGACATCAGAAGATACTTCTGTTAATGTATCCTGCAATAAACAACAAAGTAGAATTAGTAATCAATGACGAACTGAACACAAATTGAAAATGTAATTAATGAAATTCCTTTCTGCAAGATTAACTGAATCAGTTTCATGTTAAACGTTTGATTTTATTAAACACACACACACAAACATTCAGCCATTTACATAAATTACATTAAGAAATTTCTCTCTTTTCTTTTTACTAAATATTCACACAATACAAGGCGAAAGAGCTACTCAAACTAGAGCGTTATTGAGTGAGGTTTTTTTTTATAGATATAGGAGGAGGAATTTAAGTGCAGAGCGTGAGAATATGTAGGAAAGATAACGGTTGGCCCTAGACTTGAAGAGGTTAAGTTTATAGTGACTTGGAAAGCATCATGGGAAACCGTTCCAAAATGTAGCAGTTCTCGGAAACAAGCTTTCTGAGCGAATCTTAAGCGAGAAATAGTTTTATGGCATTTATTTCTATTTAGAAACAGTTTCATGGTCTTTATTTTTACGTTCAAATTTCAGATAGAGTTGATATACACCTTTTTATTAGTATCAGGTATTTTAGATGAATCTGACCACACTGTGGAAATTCTCAAGTTTGAGCATTATTTCATGCTTAAAACCCAACCCTAATAGGATTTAGAAATTTCACTTGTTTTTCGTAAGTTTGGTAAAAAAAAAAACTGTACCTTACATCATGCTTAAAACAGGCTTAATTTTTGGACTAATCTAAGCTTTGGCATACTAATAAGCTTCTTAACAATAAAAGAAAAACTGTACCCCCAGAGAAATAGTGTTTGTATGCATAAAAAAGAAATAGGCTGATATCCAATTTTTTTTCTGTCTGAATGCCTGGGGCTTGATTAGAAGTCTTTTCTCGTTTCTGTTTCTTCGCTCCTTTTTTTTTATATAAAGGGTTCTGCTTGACATTTGGAGGAAGGCCGGAGAGTAGTACAGTGAAAAAAAAAAAAAAAAAAAAAAAACTGGCTCGAATAAATCAATATATAAAATAATTATTAATTATTTAATAAATTTTCTTTAGACTAATTCTTTAATAAATTTAATTTAAACTTTTTAAAAGTTTTGGGCATCTGTTGAACTCACTACAGTAGTATATGTGAGAATGATTTACTTGATGGCGAGGCATCCTGTAGATGAATTACGTACCTACCTACCACCCTCCAGGGACTTGCCGTCTGGATAGGCAAAGTAGGCAGTGCCTACCCTTAAATAAAATAGTGCCTGCTATCTACATTTCCCTTCTGTGGTACAATATGCATCTAATCCAACAAAATTATGCATAAAATGCAAAATATTTTATTTTTTGTAAATTTACTACATAAAGGTCACAAGCTGCCTTCCCTGAACAACTACTGACGACATGTGCCTGCTATCTACTTACCTATATATCTATTTCATTCTGGTCATATCCATCTAGATGTTAGCTGAATAAGATTTATTCATATCAATATAGATAGAATATATTATACCGATAGTTGCAAATGATTTAGATTTGATGGTTTACGAGTAGAATTCTATGCACAGAAATGCAAAAGATTCTAAATACACACATCTTTGTTGAAAGCAAAATACATATTTCATATCGGGAGGTACGGTGGAATAATGGATAACGGCTCGGAGTGAGGAATCGGAGAGCCGAATACGAATTCCAGTCAAATCCATTAAATTCACTTACGAGATAATACCCTTGGGAAAAGTATGGATCCTTTTCACCTTCCCCAAGCTATAGATAAATATCCGGAGGAAGGTGAAAGAAATGGCAACCTACTGCGGGAAAAATCTGCCTCGTCAATCGAAAAGATACATGATTGCCTAAGCGTGTATCACGCATGGTACATAACTGACTGATATTCATATCTATTGTTTTCTAGGCTTAGATTTTCAAGTTAAAATATATCATAAAATGAAATTAGAATATTGAAAAAATTGTCACGATTAATTAGAATTATTCTTCTTTTAGGCGCCGTGTCACTTCAGAATGTTAACGATCATGACACTCCACAGTTTCCTATATCTTGTAACTCTAAGTAATGTTTGTCTCCTGACTATCATTCGGAGTCTCTCATCTGCCATCCATTTACACAAGCTCATTAGTTAAGTTCCTAGTTGTTCCTCTCTGTCCCACTTGCCTTCAGCATGTCCCGTGAGTATCAAATTCTCCAAACCATCTTTATTCGTTATGTGTTCCAGAAGTGTCAACGGAAAAATGATTGTTTCTTTCATCTACAGTCTTATGTCGAATATTTTAAAGTCTCAAGAACGTTTTATTTTTTCATCTTCTCTTTCGTAAGCTTTTTCCATGGCAGGTTCTTCTTGATCGTTTGTACCAAAAGCAAACGTTCATATTTTACTCAGGATTTTTCATCAGTTTCTATCCTTAAGATCCTAAACCTAATTTTTAACTCTCAGGCAGCGGAGAATTAAGGGAAATAAAATTGACTTATCAATTCCTACTTGTGTCCCATTTGTTTCAAATTTTCTTAAAAAATGCTGTTTCCAATTTCCTTGTAACTACCTCATTGTTGATATCTGTGGTATTCTCAGCACCGTTCTGTAGAATTTCCATCTATAAAGAAAATGTTCATCATTCACTGCCATATAGAAGAATTAATATTGCATAGCAGTTCAACATTCCTTTCTTTGTTTCTAGCGAAATTTTTCTCTTTCTTATTATTTTATTAGCATTTGAAAACCATCTTTATTCTAATGTCTCTCGGATTTCTGTGTTACATCTGCCGTTTGTCAAAACAGTTCCCGGATAGTTGACTTTCTGTATTTCCTCAATGAGTCAGCCGTCAGTCAAATAAATGTAGTCTCAATATAGTCACCGTGGAGAAAGCAACGAGAAACTCCTCCGCTATAATTCTCAAAACAAATTAAGATTAATTAACGAATTAAGATTATTACAGGAGTTATCAATATTCCACCAATTTTTTTCTTGTAGACAAATCAAATTTTCACTTACTATTGATGTATTACATTCGGTCGAAATTCTAATGTATCTGTATTGCCCACTGCCTTTATAGAACTAATTTAATCATCCTAGCCCATCATATCTATCTATCTATCTATCTATCTATCTATCTATCTATCTATCTATCTATCTATCACATCAATTCAGTCGGAGGCGTAATATTAATTTCATTTTAAAAGCTAAGGTGAACAGTCAAAATTTGCGCCATCACTTACATCAACGGCTGGTACAATTGTTTCATCGCTGTCCAGCTTTTGCATAGCCATCGATTCGCTGCTATAGAGGAAATCGCCTGCTTCGTCGCCATGGTACCACGTGCCTGTCTTGCACATCAACTCCCGTCTGAGTTGGCACTGTGTACAACGCCATTTGCCCCTTATACTCTATAAAATAAAGAAACAGAAAAAAAACATTATGAATGATAAAAAAAAATAGCAATATGTATGCAAAAGAACAATCACAACACCAAATAAAAAAAAAACTTGTTAATTTTATGTGAAAAAAAGAAAAGAAAACGATGACCAACAGAACTCTGGCTAGAGCTTCCGGGCCTCTTGATCAGGGGGGGGGCGTGGGACACAATGACATAAGGTGCCCAGAACGAACATGTAATTAAATAATATATAATGTATTTCAGGAGCTGTAAATTTGGCACGAGGCCGATTTATTTTATTTTCTACGGTCATAGGTAGCCGTCAAAAATATTCTCACTTAGAATAAATTTCTGTTTACGGTTTTAAGGGAAATGCATTTAGAGCGGTTCAAATTAAATATTTCGCCGTGAGTCCTCAGGTTGGCTGACATTATGATCAGTAGTTTCCTTTGAAATCACAAACGTTTTGAAAAGATATAAAGTAGAAAAAAACAAATTCAATTGGAAAGAAGAGACTTGGCAGTGATAAAAAGTATTTCTTACAACACGCGTTTATTTCATAAAAGAAGCAATTTACAAGTACAGACATTTATTAATCGCACACGTCATATGATAAAAAAGACGAAAATCATGAGATTATGCATGGTTTCTTTACCTTTTTATTTTATTTCTTTTTATATTTAGAATGAAAATTTGTCTAAGAAAGCTTGGCTGATCTTTCAAGATTTCTTTTATGCGAAAGAATTTACATCGATTACTACGACAAAGAAGAAAAAAAAATATCTAAATCAAGAACAAAGTAACCATAAAAAATAGAAGTAATATTTATATTTATTTCCTTTCTCTTTTGAATATTTAAAATTCTCAATAACGTTTTACTTTTTTGTTTATCTTTACTTTCGTAAGCTTTTTGCATGGTGGGTCTTGTTAATTTCTACCAAAAGCTAACGTCCATAATTTTTAAAGTACGGAAGCCAAAAATGAGTTGCATTGTCTTTTTCTCGCATAAAAGTCTCAAAAGCTAAGGATGTTTTGTTAATGGCTATCCTGGAAACCGTAACCCCAACCTTTAATTCTGTTGGCTCGGAGAACTAAAAATTAGCCTTTCAATTTCTACTAGTAATGAAATTATCCCAAAACTCTAAACCAACATTGCAACCCTGTTTAATAGCCTCTTCCTCGTATGTGAAAAAATATTATTACATTTTATATTTATTATATGAAATTAATCATTACTTGAAAAAAAAAATTATCAAAGCGGTGATACATTTGAAATTTTATCCTGTTCGCTTGCCAATTATTTTTAAACGTTGTAAGAATAGCAGACGATCGTAAGAAGCATTTTCTAGAGCTTTCTCGAACAGACTAAAGTAATGTTTGTCTAGTTTAATTGTAATAACATTTCAAAGAATATTTTAAGCTCATTTTTAGTTGGTTTAAATGAATTTAACGCATCAGTATTATTCGAAAATTCCATATATTAATGACAAATTCAAGCAATTAAAACAATGCAGCAAAAAATAAATAACTTAGTATTTGTAAGTTGTTTTACCCACTATTTAAGCAACTGATACCGGTGAAATGGATACGCTATTTGCCTCAATATCTTGAGGTCAGCCATTTGACTCACGGGGAAGTTCTATTAATGTTATATATTTATTTGACAAAGAAAAACACTGACAAAATCGAGACATTGCTTTTTATATAATAAAATAGTTCACAGAGCAGAAAACATATTATTTATATATTTGCATTAAAAAATTAGTTCACTAAAACAATTATTGAATCGTTTTTATTCAATAAATGTTTTAGGGAACTAAATTATTTGTTTGATTGGTCTTATATTTTTAATAAACGTGAATTTTAATTCATAATAATTTTCTGGTTACATAGATGGTCAGTTACGAACAAGCAGATAAGTGAAAATATAAAATAATAAATAAAAAGCTAAACTTGTTGATATTATAACGCAAGACTAATCCTGTTAATGGCTAGTGGAGAATGTAAATCACATATTTTTTTCAAACTACTACTCATTTCCCGAAAATCTGCTCCGAATCGTAAAATAAAAAAATGCAATGACATTATTTAATTATAAAATTTTTTAATTGCTTTTATAAAAAAAGACTTAGTAAGGAGAAGAAATTTTTTTCGATGAATAATGAATTGTTTTCATTTTTTTTAAATTTTTATCATAATAATATATAAATCGTTTAAAATTCTGCATTACTTTAATCCGGTTAGATGATATTGTTATTAAGTGAAAGCTATATTTACAAATCAAAAATTGAAAAGCTTAATAAAGTATTTTGCACCAAGATTTTTAAAATATTTTTTTAAATTTTTCTTCATGCATATAAAATATTATGTAACGTACTCCTGTTTGAAAGTAAGGTCGACCATACACGACATTATCAAAAAATAAGCACGATGATTATATTAAATTTATAGTCAACATTTCTTAAATTAGATTACGGGGATATCTTTCAACGTTATAAAGATAACTGAATACTTAAAAATTATATAAAAAAGGCGTTTATCCGTCATTTTTTTAAATTATGTTTTAACAGATAAAGTCTCATTAGAACAACAAATAAATCTGTCAAAACCTTCCAGCAATGTAAGTGACTGACGGGCGATGAAAAGTGCGTAAGTCACAGCTACTGTTGGTTTAAAAAATTTATTACTCTGCTATTAAAAAAGTAAATATTTGTTTCAAATCAGATTAATTATACTTTAAATCAGCTAATATTCCTCAAGTAAAGTTTTAGATAAGTGCACTTTCTTTTTGAAAGATTTTTAAAACCAAGAATTAACTTACAAATATATCAAATATGGCCGATTTTAAATGATTTTCTGAAAGCGACCAAAAAGTTGAGAATCCAATCAATATAATTTGTATTTGAAATACAACAAAGTATTTTGCTTACTGAAAATAGTAAATTAAATCATTTACCTTTCAATTAAAGCTAAAAAGAAAGCTTCAAGAATGCTCTTTCATTTATAAAAATTCTTTTTAAACATTAGGTAGCGAAACTTAGTGGAGGTTCCTACGTTACAGAAAATATTTTCTGAAATCTATTTATCCATGTAACTAATATCTACATCAGTGTTTGTTTTCACACTACGTTTCAAACTGATAACCTTTCTAATGACTGTAATTCCGAAGTAAGTCATTAATTCATGAGTTGTTTGGAATAACGTTATCATTTTGGTGGTTGCAGTCAGTTTCTTTGGGCTTGTAATAAAGTTCCCTAATTCGTTTCCTTCAAACAACAGAGTAGCGTAAACCAAAAACACGTGTCTCTTGTTCACTAGCGCAAGTCGCACTTCTATTTGTCGCGCCTCATTAAGCAATTTTTTATAGATTGAGTGACAATTCAAATTTGTGTATGTTAAAAGAGATTCTCGCAAAAATCTATCCAACTCCGAGATCTATCTTCTTTAAATATATGACTCGTAAAACCACCATTTTCTTTTTAGGAATATTTTTATATGCGAGACACGTCCGAATCGGTTTTCCTCTCGCAAGTAAATCATTCTTCAACTCATCAAGAAGAAAATAGTTTCTACTTTAGACTGTTTTCAATCAGGACATCAAAGATTTGCAGAAAATAATATACTGACGTTACCTGCAGAAATTTCTAATACACTGATCTCAAGCTGTCTGTCGAAAAACCTCCTCTTATTGAATGACAATTCAATAAAATCAAAGAATTGCATCAACCGAGACATAATGATTTTTCACGTGAGTCCATCTTTCACATTTACAAATTATTCCGTGTATTAAATACGGTTGCCATATCTGGTCTGCTGCTCCAGTTGTACATCTTGAAATTCTTGACAAAATCTAAAAGAAGGATCAGTAATCTATCTTGACTTGGCATCTCGACTTCACTCACTTTCTCACCGACGTGACGCGGTTTCTCCCTCCCTTTTCTACAAATATTTTCAAGGCAACTGCTCTGACGACCTTTCCCCCCCCCCCGGTGCCCCCATTTCATGAATTTAAGCGTGCTACTAGATTGGCATCTAGGTCCCATCCGTTTACTATTGAAATAGCTAAATGCAACCGCTACTTCTACTTCAACCGTTTCCTTTCTCGCACTTCCTAACTGTGGAACTCACTCCCTTTACTTGCTTCCCTGATGACTACAATGTTCAAAAATGTAAATTCCCAGACTCCGTGAATTCAAGCGCCCTACGTGGCTGGCATCCCGCTCCCACCCTTACACTGTAGAAACTTTTAAATGTAGCCGTCTCTTCTACTCCAATAGCTTCATACCTCGCACCTCTCACCTGTAGAACACCCTTTCCAATTATTGTTTCCATGAGAGCTATAATCTCCAACTATTCAAATGTAATGTCAATCGACACCTCCAGTTACCTTGATCTATCCACTATCCTTCTCCTCATCCTTTCTTCTATCACTCCTATCTGCTCTTGCTCCAAATATTCTGCACCCCCCCCCTGCATTCTAGTGGCTTCACGCCTGGCTCGGGGCGTAATGCTTTAAAAAAAAGAACATCAATCGTCATGTTCTATCTTCTCGAAACCTTTTCATCTTTTGTCATTTCTTCAATCCTCCATATTCTCGGTATTCTCTTTCACTTTTACTCCCTGTAATCCCCGATGTACTAATGACATTCCCACCCTGCTTGGGCTGAAATGATTAAAAAACAAAACAAAACAAAAAAACTACTAATGATGAGGTTATTAATCCGAACAACACATAGAATGTTGGGGTTTTAAACAGAATATATGTTATCCCTGCCGAATGCTCTACCATAGAGCTATCACATTGTAAGAAGTTAAAGCTGGGGATATAACTTTTATATATTTCTTAAGTTTAGTTATATCTCTTGGCGCAATATGGCGGAAAGCAATGAAATCGAAATTATACACTGAAAGTTATAATAGACAAATCGCCTGCGACGTAAACTTTCGGTTGTTAAACACTTTACTTGATATTTGGGTTATTGGAATTTCCTCATCGTTCAGTGATTGAGT